TCAGGAAACTACAGCCTCAGCTGCTGGCATTGGAACCAGGCCATCTCAGTTATGCTCTGCATCCACAGAATGAAATTCTCGCACCTGGCCTCTATTGCCACATAACTTGGTTCCAAATCTGAGCATTGGATGTGTGCATCTGTTATGCAGAATCTAAATCTCATCCACAATTTTAGTTCTAAGGGATCTGAAAAACAGACCTTGCAGCTTTCAAGTCTCTGTGAGCCAGGAAGGCCCAGAAGGGAGTTGGAGCAGAATTGAGCAAGCCAGTTCACAAAACCTAGTGCCACCATGTGTTTGCAACAATATTGGAACCATAAAACAGAAAAAAAATGTTCTGCTTAATGTTCCTTGGAATGAAAAACTCTATTAGGTACAGCAGCCCATTCCTGTTAATTGTGATTAATACTCTTATTACTATACTTTTTTTTTCTGTAGCAACATTGGTTCTTTGCTTGTGCCAGTATTTTGGGAAGCTTTAGTGAGCCCATTTTTAAAAGCTGCTGCAGGTCACAGACTGCAAGTCTCCTCTTTTAGCTTTCCATGTGTCAGCCAGTGTTTGAGAGCCTAGGGCATTGGGTAATAGTTATTGGCTGATGATCTTGAGCCTTCATTCCATAACCAAAGGGGAAAGTTCTTGAATTAATGTAGAAATTATTTGTTGAATTAGATCCTAGGGCTATAACATTTTGAATTCTGCCCAACCATAGTAATTTTTCTGGACTACTGCCATGCTATGATGTTTTCAGCATCCAGAATCCATGTTCAGAGGGAAGGAGAAAAAAAATGTTTGCTCTGCAGAGACATGTGCATGAAGTCCTATTTGAATGAAGCTGAGGAACTTTGGGGGTGGTCACAATTTTTCCTTCTTTCTCGTTTCATAGTGTTTAATTTGCTAAGAGTTCTAGTTCTGTCGGATGCCGTAATGGGGGAAGAAGCCACACCAACTGCTCTTCAATTGACAGTTGTTTTGCCTTTGCTCCTCATGGAAAACACTGGAAGCCATTTGATAAATTTAGCTTTGAGAAAATAGCATTTTAAAGGCAGATGATGGTTAGCTTTTAGAATTTTACTCCTGGATTTTCATGCATGCATCTTCAAAGATTTTTGGATTGCAATGAGAAACTAAAACACTACTTTAGAAAGATGGCTTATCCATCCAATAGTTGTGAAAATAAGTGCTCAAATATGAATTGTGAAACTGGGCTCTTAGAAAGAGATATAAGAGCAAGATGTTTCTTTTCAGAGAGCATCATCAAAGTTTGTGTATCACAGTAATTTGAATAATGATAAGGAATCTTGGCCAACCAGCAGCAAAATATAAAATGCAAACACCTGAGAAGTTGGCAGCAGTGAGTTGGAAGGCTACCCCATGGGGTCACAGGTGTGCAAAGTAAATGCTAGGCGATCCGGCAGGAGCAGTTCTTGCAGGTAGTAGGACTACAGGCTGCAACGCAAGAGACTGAGGTTTTCTCTATTTGCTCCCCAAACAGATGACCAGAAAACTAGCCATTAATTTATGTATGTATTGCATATTGTACACATCTCTCTAGAAATATTTTTTATTTTTATCAAACAAATCCAACACTGGGCTTTCTTTTATTTTTAATTGGAGGATAACTGCTTTATAATATTCTCTTATTTTCTGCCATACATAACATGAATAAGCTACAGGTATAAATATGTCCCTTCCCTGTTGAACCTCCCTCCCACTTACCACCTGATCTCTCCCCTCTAGGTTTTCACAGAAAACTGGATTTGGGTTTCTTGCATCATACAGCAAATTCCCATTGACTGTCTGTTTTACATATGGTAATGTGTATGTTTCAACATTACTCTTTTAATTCATCCTTCCTTGTCTTTCCCCCACTGTGTCCCCCAGTCTGTTCTCTATGTCTGCATCTCCACTGCTGCTGCTGCTGCTAAGTCACTTCAGTCGTGTCCGACTCTGTGCAACCCTATAGATGGCAGCCCACCAGGCTCCCCTGTCCCTGGGATTCTCCAGGCAAGAACACTGGAGTGGGTTGCCATTTCCTTCCCCATGCGTCTCCACTGCTGCCCTGCAAATAGGTTCATCAGTACCATCTTTTTAGATTTCATATATATGTGCTAATATATGATTCTTTGTTTTTTCTTTCTGACTTACTTCACTCTATATGATTGGTTTGGGCCTTCATTTTTAAAAAAAAAAATTGTAGTTGTTTATAATGTTGTGTTAGTTTCTGGTGAACAGCAAAGTGATTAAGTTATATACTTAATTAAGTTATAATTTCCAATATGCTTTATTACAGGATACTGAATACAGTTCCCTGTCTCATACACTAGGACCTTGTTGTTTATTTTATATACAGTAGTGTGTATCTGCTAATGACAAACTCCTAATCTATCCACAAACTTCCTAAGTTATGGTTACCAAAGGGGAGGGTCCCAACTCTTTTCCTCTTGGTAACCATAACTTTGTTTTCTCTGTGAGTCTGTTTTGTAGTTAAGTTCATTTGTGTCATATTTTAGATTCCACCAATAAGTGATATCATATAGCATTTGTCTTTCTCTGATTTACTTCACTTAGTATAATAATCTTTAGGTGCATCCATGTTGCTGCAGATGGCATTATTATTTTTTAATGGCTGAGTAGCATTCCATGTTATGTATGTACCACATCTTTCTGTCAACAGACATTTAAGTTGCTTCCATGTCTTGGCTCTTGTAAATAGTGCTGCTATGAACATTGAGGTGCATGTCTCTTTGAATGGACATATGCCCAAGACTGGGATTGTTAGATCATATGGCAACTCTATTTTAGTTTTTTAAGGAATATCCATAGTTTTTCACACTAGCTGCACCAATTTATATTCCCACAGTGTAGGAGGGTTCACTTTTCCTCACACTCTCTCCAGCATTTGTTATTTGTAGACTTTTTAATGATAACCATTGTGAGTGGTGTGTGGTGACACCTCACTGTAGTTTTTATTTGCATTTCTCTAATAATGCTGAGCATCTTTTCATGTGCCTATTGATTTATCTATATATCTTCTTTGGAAAAAAAGTCTCTTTAGAACTTCCGTCCATTAAAAAAGAAAGAATTCTGTTTTTGGCTGCACTAGGTCTTCATTGCTGTGCACGGGCTTTCTCTAATTGCAGCAACTGGGCGCTACTCTTCATTGTGGTTCACGCTTCTCATTATGGTGGCTTCTCTTGTTGCAGAGCGCAGGCTCTAGATGTGCAGTCTTCAGTATTTTCTTTGGCAATTCTGGATCTTTTATGGTTCCATATTAATTTTAGGATTATTCTAGTTCTGTGAAAACTGTCATGGGTAATTTGATAGGGATCTCATTAAATCTGTAGATTGCTTTGGGTGGTATGGTCATTTTAAGTTTTCTTCCAGTCCAGAAGCATGGGATATCTTCTCATCTTAAGTTCCCTTTATCAATGATTTATAGTCATATCGTTTTGTTTTGGTTTTGGTTTTTTTGCTCTATCACACAGCTTGTAGGATTTCAATTCTCTAACCAGGGATTGAAGCCGTTAGGGGGACCCTGATGTGAGAACCACAGCTAGTCTAGGGTTAGAGACATTAGAGAAACAGTAGGCTGTGGTCATCTCAGTTCAAACTTTTAATGAAATTGTGTTTCTTGGAAGACCTAGAGGGATCGGGTGGAGAGGGAGGTGGGAGGGGGGACTGGGATGGGGAATACATGTAAATCCATGGCTAATTCATTTCAATGTATGACAAAAACCACTGCAATGATGTAAAGTAATTAGCCTCCAACTAATAAAAATAAATGGAAAAAAAAAAGAAAAAAGAAATTGTGTTTCTTTCCATTTCAGAGAGTAAGCTTCTGTGTAGTTCATTTAGACTGGAAGACAATGCTCCTGGAACTACATGTTGCTGAGATCATCCTCAGTAGAGCTGGGAAAATTCCTTTCAGGTGATTAACCACAATGTAGGACTAGGAGGAAATGATCTCTTGCTCATTTATACTTGTGTGTTATCTGACAATTATTTTTTAATTTATGTATTTTTGAAAAAATTTTTAAAAATTAAGAAATTACAGATTATGTGACAAATACCAGCCAGTGTGAATCAGCAGACACATTTTGCATATTTTTTCCTAATGTTACTTTGTACCACATGAAATTGAAATGTTGTTATCTTTGTCCCAAACTTTCTCCTTCCTCTGTCTTTACTTCTCTTCTTCCCCAGAAGCAACCTCCACCATGAATTTGGCAATGGGCTTCCCTGGTGGCTCAGATGGTAAAGAAACTGCCTGCAATGCAGGAGACCCAGGTTCAATCCCTGGGTCAGGAAGATCCCCTGAGAAGGGAATGGCAATCCACTCCAGTATTCTTGTCTGGAAAATCCCTTAGATAGAGGAGCCTGGAGGGCTACAGTCCATGGTGTCACAAAGAGTTGGGCACAACTACTTTTTACTCTGTGTTTATACTTTCATTATGTACAAATGTGTTCACAAATGATATTAGTACTGTTTTTTGGTAGTTTTTCCTTTATATTAACAGAGATGGTGTTATATGAAGCACATGATATAAACTTGCTTTTTTCACTCAATTTTATGATTTTTGTCTTAATAAGGCATATCTAATTGATAAACTAATTCTCGTTTCTTTTTCTTTCCTATGCTTTATAGACTTTGCTTCACTACCTTGATGACAGACAAGGGAACGGATGAGGGGGTAGTGTTCGAAAACTAATGTTATTTACTTGCTAAAGGTGATAAAAAGTTACCTCTTGAAACAAAAGATGGTCTGCTTCGAGTTGGGAAGATAGCTAGTCTAACCTAGAAGAAACGAACTGGTCACTTGGTGCTGATTTAACATCAGGGTGTTTGCACTCATGTTACAGGGATGATCTCTAAGGCAGCGGAGCTCAAGCGTACTGCAGCTATTAAGGACTCGGTGGCTCCTTCCTCCTAGGAGGCCTGGATTTGTGCATGCTGTTTCTCAGTTTGAACCTAAACTGGGGGGAATGCGAGGGAGGTGTTTGCTGGTGCAGGAAGTCCAGAGCCAATCCCACTGTCATCACATTCTCCTGCCCTGCATCAGGTGACCATGAAATTAAAATTTGGTTTTTTCCTTCAGTTTAAGGATGGATAGGTTTTCACTGGGACTAAATTATAGCATCTGCTTATGGAAAGGTATTATGGGTTGACTTGTGTTTCCCTCTGGGATATGTTTAAGTCCTAACTACCCAGTGCCTCAGAATGTGATGTTATTTGGAAGTAGGTCACCACAGATGAAGTAGTTAGGTAGAGATGAGATCATAATGGAGTAGGATGGGCCCTTAACCCAGTGTGTCTGGTGTCCTTACAAGAAGAAGAGACAAGAGACACACAGGGAGAGCTTCATGAGCTAAAAGGCAGAGAGTAAAGTGATGGATCTATAAACCCAGGGGTGTGGAGGGTTGCTGGCAACCACCAGAGGCTAGAAGAGGCAAGGAAGGATTCATTCCTAGAGCCCTCAGAGGGAGCATGACCCTGCTGATATCATGATTTTGGAATTCTAGGTTCCAGAATGTTTGTGGTACTGTTACAGAAGCCCTAGGAGACGAATACAAATGAAAATGAAGAATAAGTTTAGCTCAACTCAATATGTTAAAGAGAGCACCCATAACATGTAAGTAAACTGATTATTCTGGAAATATTAAGGGATTAGTAGTCTAGTTAACTGAATTTTCTCGTTTGAGCATTAACCAGCTTACTCCGTAATTTCTACCAACAGTACTACATGTACATGTTTAAACATCTGGGTTGTGAGTTATAATGAGACTAAAAAACCCATATGGCCACCAAGTTCCCTATAGATCCTATAATGTTACCATGTTCTTTTAATAAAGACATTAAAGTACTTGGAAAAACTTGCAGATGAAAGACATATTTAACTGAACTAACCTCCAGGATTAAGAAGATAATGTGATATAATTGAAACTAAAGTTATATTGCCCTTAATTTTCCTCCTCCTTTGATATTTCATAAAACACTTTTAGATATTACAAATATATACTCATTATAAATCTAGTTATGGTTGTTAGTCCAGTACTATAGAATAATTCAGTTTATTCCTTGCATTTCTTCTTCCTCTTGCACCACTTCCACTGTGGCCACCGGCACTGACATCAGCTGCCTCCCTGTCCACGACCTCCTCCTCCGCAACTGCCTCCAGCACCACCGACTTCAATGCCGCCACCACCCTCATGTCATGCTTTAGGCAGACTTTGTGTTGCTGGGTTGGCCAAGAGTCCTCAAGCATTTCCCCAAAACAGAGTCTACATATGCAGCAAGGTAGGGGACATAAAGTTTACATGCAGATCCTTAATATAAGGCAAAACATGAAATGGGAGATTCTTAAGATGCAAAAATAAAGTATGGTATTAGTCCAGATCCAGATGACTACTTTTAGCCACAGATGTCTTCAGCCATCATGATGAGTTTGGGGTAGATCTTCTATTAGGTAAGTCATTAACTACCCAATTCATTAAAAAAACACAGCAGTCACACAGTCATTTTGAGTGATCTCTATTGACCAGGTTTTAGAACTTTTACATGAAGAGACAGCGTCTTATTGCTTTGATTTTTCCATTTTGTGTAGGATAGGCATGGATGATAGAGAATAAGTATTTGATGATTTAATTCCTATTGTGATTCTGACAGTTGAAGCTACAAACAATTTTGAGTTTGAAAGTATGCATGTGTACTTATTTTTGTTATTTTCTTTGAAACGGTAATACAAATTTGGCCAGATCTACCAAACTTAGAGGTTTATTTATTTATGTACATATGTATGTATGTATGTATTTATATTGAAGTATAGTTGCTGTACAACATTATATAAGTAATAGGTGTATAACATGGTGATTCATGGTTTTTAAAGGTTACACTTCATTTAGTTAATATAAAGTATTGGCCGTATTTCTTGTGTTGTAGCATACATGCTTGTAGCTTATTTTATACATAATAGTTGGTACCAGATGTGTTTATTCTTTGCCCCAGTAATTCCACCTCTTAACATCGCTACTACAGATACACATGTACATGGAAGAAAGGCCATGTGGAGAAGGTTGCTCATATCCTAGAGTCCAACAGTAGGGTACTAGGTTGTGAGAAAGGCCTGTTTTACTGGAATACAGCCACATGCAATCATTACATACGGGTTAAAGGCTGATTTTGTGCTACAGAGAGGAGCTGAGTGGTTATGACAGAGACTACATGGCCCATAAAACCTAAAGTAATTACTATCTGGCCCCTGGGGGGTAAAAAGGCTTATGAACCTCAGCTATAAGTGATTCAATTAAAAAAAAATTAAACATATGCTTGTATAGTACACTCAGATACAAGCACAAAACAGTTAAAGTACAAAATAGTTAAAAAATAAAACCCAAACCATGAGCTTCATTCCTAAGAATGCATAGGAGAGATGGTGTTCTTTTTCAGTCTGACAGTATTTCCCCTCAAGAGGAAAAGTGGGAAGCAAGATTGCTTCATTTTTAATTTACCTGACAAATATTCGTTGGGTGTATACTCAGGGGAAGGTACTCCAGGGACTCCAGGATGCAGAGACGAAGAAAGCATGATCCTTCTTGGGGGCAAGGGAGTCAGACATGTTAAACAATTACGATACAAAATGATGAGTGCTGTAAGAAAGAGAAGGAAAAAGTGCTGTGGGAGCGTCAGCAGTCACACAAAATGTGTGAATCTACCCAAGGCCTTTAAAAAAAATCATGAGAGGTTATTTACAAAAGGGTGTCAAGGTGAAATAAAAATTGCCAGTGAGACATGTTTTACTCTTTCTGAGCAAAGGAGGGTAGTGAAAGAACACTTGTCTAATTTAAAACCTAAACAAATGGAGAGGTGAGAACCACGGGCTTCCCTTCCCCTGTGCGGAGTTTTAATTTTCACTTTAGATTAGTTCACATGGCTTGTTTTGGACACTGTTCTAACTAAGGTTTCCTTAGTATCGCTCAGATATGAAACAAATGGCAAAGATATAGGACAGTTCATCCATAAAGTAGAAAGTTCCAGATCACACCGTTTCCTAGATGGCCTCCATCTGCTCTGGCAGACCAACTCTCCACCCTTTCTACTCTCCTTTCAGGACTCAAAGGCTGACCTGCATGGATTCCATGAATACACTTTCTGGCCTCTGGCTTCCACTTGGGTTCAGCCAATGAGAAGACCTGGCTGATCGCATGAAGGGGAAGGAGTGCAGTTCCAGGTATTTGTCTCCCCACTTCGTCCTGTAGGATCGTGATATGCCGCATCCCTCTGCTGAAGGAAAGACGGGGCAGAGGGTACTTCATTGTTTCTGGTGATTTCCCTATTGCCTCCCACACATTTGTCAGCAATTTCTTTATAAAAGTCTCTTCACATTAGCCTAGCTGACTGCTATGCCAGGGATTTGAGTGATGCAGTATATTCCTGTAAGGTTGTTTCACAAATCAAAAATTTTATTCTGTTCCATGGCACTAATTTCCACAACCTTGTCTTCTAGCACACTCACACTCAGAACATCTGAGGCAGATGTTCTTTTGCCTCATTTATCCTGCTGTTGATTCCTTCTAGTGTTTTTCATTTCAGTTGTCATATTCTTCAACTCTGGTTGTTCTATATTTCTGATTCTTTGTTAGAAACTTGTAACTTCCCACTCTCTGCATCCATTCTTTTTCTGAGTTCTTGAATCATTTTTACGATCATTACTCTGAACTCTTTCTCAAAGTGGAGATGTTCTTCCCGGGTTTTATTTTGTTCCTTCACCTGGAATATGTTCCCTTACCATCTCATTTTGTTTAAATTTCTATATTTTTACATATGTGGCAGGTGACATTTCTCGACTTTGGTGATGTGGCCTTCTATAGGGGATGTTCTGTGTGACCCCTCTTGTAGCCCAAGGGCCAGGGACCAGCTGGTCCAGGGTAGGTTCTGACCTGTGTTTGCAGACTCAGTTCCACAGGTTCCATGATTGCTCTTTACTTGTTTCTGGTGTCTGCCTCCTGGTCAATGAGGCTGGGTCTCAGCTCTCTGTGGGCAGGGCCATGTCAAGAGGTGGCTGTGGGCTCAGGAAGTCTTTAGGCAGCTTCTCTGTTGACTGGTGGGGCTGTGTTCTGACCCTGTGGTGGTTTGGCCTGAGGCATCCCAGTATAGGAGCCTACGGGCTGTTGGGTGGGGCCATCAGTGCTAATGAGCCAAGAAAGAGGTCCACCTGTAGCAGGAGTTCATATAGATAAACACTCACCCAGGATCTCCGCCACCAGCGTCCATGTCTCCAGGGAAGCCACAGCCACCACCCCCCCTCCCTAGGAAACCCCATGAGACCAGCAAATAGGTCTAGCCCAGGCTCCTTTGAAGTCACTGCTTTTGCTCTCTGTCCCAGTGAGTGTGAGACCTTGAATGCGCCCTCTAGGAGTGGAGTCTGTTTCCCCCAGTCATGTGCAGTTTGTGCACTTAAGCCCTGCTGGCCTTCAAAGCCAAGTGCTCTGGGGGCTTCTCCTCCCAAGGCTGGCCCCCCAGGCTGGGAACCTGACATGGGGCTCAGAACTCTTACTGCTGTGGAAGAACATACTTAACATAATTATTCTCCAGTTTGTGGGTCACCCACCTGGATGGTATGGGATTTGATTATATTGCAAGTGTGCCCCTCTTGCCATCTCATTGTAGTTTCTTATTTATATCTTGGGATATAGAATATATTTTTTGCAATGTTCCAGTCTTTTTTACTCATAGCTGTTCAACAGTTCCTTGTAATTTTGGTGTGCTCATGAGAAGAGGTGAGTTCACAGTCCTTCTAGTCTGCCATCTTGTCTCCAATTCAGTTTTGTGAGTCAGAAATCCAGATATGGCTTAGCAGAAGGCCTCTGATTCAGACTCATTCACCAGGTTGCAGTGTTCAGTACAGTTCAGCTCAGTCGTATCCAACTCTTTGTGACCCCATGGACTACAGCACACCAGGTTTCCCTGTCCATCACCAACTCCTGGAGCTTACTCAAACTCATATCCATCCAGTCAGTGATGCCATCCAACCATCTCATCCTCTGTCCTCCCCTTCTCCTCCCGCCTTCAGTCTTTCCCAGCATCAGGGTCTTTTCCAATGAGTCAGTTCTTTGCATCAGATGGCCAAAGTATTGGAGTTTCAGCTTCAGCATCGGTCCTTCCAGAACATTCAGTACTGATTTCCTTTTAGGATTGATTGGTTGGATCTCCTTGCAGTCTAAAAGACTCTCAAGAGTCTTTTCCAACACCACAGCTCAAAAGCATCAATTCTTCAGCACTCAGCTTTCTTTATAGTCCAACTCTCACATCCATACATGACTACTGGAAAAACCATAGCCTTGACTAGATGGACCTTTGTTGGCAAAGTAATGTCTCTGCTTTTTATATGCTGTCTGGGTTGGTCATAGCTTTTCTTCCAAGGAGCAAGTGTCTTTTAATTTCATGGCTGCAGTCACCATCTGCAGTGATTTTGGAGCCCCAAAGTCTGTCACTGTATCCATTCTTTCCCCAGTGGTGGGACCAGATGCCATGATCTTAGTTTTCTGAATGTTGAGCTTGAAGCCAACTTTTTCACTGTCCTGTTTCACTTTCATCAAGAGGCTCTTTAGTTCTTCTTCACTTTCTGCCATAAGGGTGGTGTCGTCTGCATATCTGAGGTTATTGATATTTCTCCTGGCAGTCTTGATTCCAGCTTGTGCTTCATCCAGCCCAGCATTTCTCATGATGTACTCTGCATATAAGTTAAATAAGCAGGGTGACAATATATAGCCTTGATGTATTCCTTTCCCACTTTGGAACCAGTCTGTTGTTCCATGTCCAGTTCTAACTGTTGCTTCTTGACCTGCATACAGATTTCTCAAGATGGTCTGGTATTCCCATCTCTTGAAGAATTTTCCACAGTTTGTTGTGATTCACACAGTCAAAGGCTTTGGCATAGTCAATAAGCAGAAGTAGATGTTTTTCTGGAACTCTCTTGCTTTTTGATGATCCAATGGATGTTGGATTTGATCTCTGGTTCCTCTGCCTTTTCTAAATCCAGCTTGAACATCTGGACGTTTACATACTGTTGAAGCCTGGCTTGGAGAATTTTGAGGATTACTTTGCTAGTGTGTGAGATGAGTGCAATTGTGTGGTAGTTTAAGCATTCTTTGGCATTGCCTTTCTTTGGGATTAGAATGAAAACAGACCTTTTCCAGTCCTGTGGCCATTGCGTCACTATAAACAAAGCTAGTGGAGGTGATGGAATTCTAGTTGAGCTATTTCAAATCCTAAAAGATGATGCTGTGAAAGTGGTGCACTCAATATGCCAGCAAATTTGGAAAACTCAGCAGTGGCCACAGGTTGCAGTATAGTTGTCTGCTAAGGCTGCTGTCATCTTGAAGCTCAAATGAGGAAGACAGAGTGGTAGAATTCACTGTCACAGAACAGAAGGAAGAAAAAAGAATGAAAAGAAATGAGGACAGTCTCTGGGACAACATAAAATTTACCAACATTTGCATTACAGGGTTCCCAGAAGGATAAGAGAGAGAACCAGGAGGATAAGAGAAAGAAAAAGCCTGGAAGATATCTGAAGAGATACTTACTACTGAAAAACTCCCTAGCATGGGAAAGGAGAAAGCCCCCCAAGTCCAGGGAACTCAGAGACTCACATACATGATTCACTCTTCTCCACAGTTTCTGACTTATGGTGCTCCTCCAAACTCAGGACCCCACACTGCTCTCCACGTCAGTACCTCTTCCTTCTTTCTGACTTACTGTCATCCTCCTCACGCAAGAACTGCACTTCACAGCAAGTAACTATCTCCACATAGTTTTTGTCTTAACAGTGCTTCTCCTCATCAGGAACCCACATCTTCTCCAAGTATCTATGCCAAGGTTCTGACCTATGCACTCGTCCTCACTCAGACCCTACACTGTGCCCCAAATGAGTATTTCTGCATCATTTCTGACATGCTGCACTCTTCTGTACTACACCCAATTCCTCTCCAAATGAGTATCTCTGCCTACATGCTGATTTACTGCATTCCTCCCCACTCAAGACCTCCACTCGTCTCCAAGTGAGAATCTCTGCCCAGTTTTGGACCAATCAACTCCTCATCACCCACAACACCCGAACTGGCCATTGAGAACCTCTTGCTAATTTCTGGCTTACTGCCCATCTTCTCAATCAGGAAACCCCCTTCTGTTTAACTTTGCATCACTGATTATTTTCTGACTTACTGGGTTCCTCCTTATTTAGGACCTCCTCTCTTTTCCAAGTGAGTATCACTGCCCAATTTCTGATATATGGCCAGATCCTCTTTCACATGACCCACTCCTTTCCATGTAAGATCCTCTTCCTAGTTTCTTACTTCCATCCCTTCTCAATCAAGAACTACACACATATAGAATTTAGTATTTCTGCCTAATTTCTGAATTACTATTCTTCTGGTAACTCAGGATTATCATTCTATCCACCTGAGGGTCTCTTCCCAGATTTGAACTTTGGGCTCCTCCTCACTCAGGGCCCTTTACATCTCTCCAATGAGTATCACTGCACAGTGTCTAACTGACTGTGCTACTACTCATTCAAGACCTCTACTTGCTTCCAAGTGAGGATGTCTGGCCATGTTCTGACCTATGTGCTCCTCTTCACTCAACACCTTCCAGTCCTCTCCATGTTAGTGTCTAAACCTAGCTTCTAATTTAGTGCGCTACTACTCACACAGGACCTACACTTTTCTCCAAGTGAATATACCTGCCCAGTTGATCCTCTTTCACAACATGCACTCATTTCCAAGTGAGAACCTCCTCTTACTTTCTGACTTACTTCCCTCCATCTCAATCAGGAACTACTCACCTGTACAATTTTGTATCTCTGCATAGTTTCCGACTTACTGAGTTTCTGCTCACTCAGGATCGCCCCTTCTCTCCAAGTGAGTATCTCTTCCAGTTTTGACCTAACTTCTTCCTCACTCAGGACCCTTCACTCCTCTCCAGTGAGTATCTCTGCTTAGTTTCTAATTGACTGCCTGACTCCCGTCTCAGGACCAGCACTTCTTTCCAAGTCAATACCTCTGCCCAGTTTCTGTCGTATGTGCTCTTCCTCAGTGAGGACCTCCTCTCCAAGTGAGTATCCCTGCCCAGTTTCTCAACTATGCGCAACTCTTCCCTCAAGACCCTCCCGTCCTCTCCATGTTAGTATCCCTGCCTAGCTTCTAACTTATGTGCACTACTACTGACAAAGGATAACAACTGTTTTCCAGGTGAGTATATCTGCCCACTTTGTGACCTATGGCTTGATCCTTGTTCACAACACCCACTCCTTTCCTAGTGAGAACCTCTTCCTAGTTTCTGAGTTACTTCCGTACTTCTCAGTCAGGGACTACACACCGGTAGAATTTGAATTTCTACCTAAATTGAAACGTACTGTTCTTTTGCTTACTCAGGATCTCCATTCTCTCCTCTTCTCCTCTCCAAGTGAATGTCTGCCACCTCTGTGACCCTCTTCCCTCAGGACTTCCTTTCCTCTACAAGTGAGTATCTCTGCCCAGTTCCTCACCAATGCGATCCTCCTCCCTCCAGAGTTTTTCTCCTCTCCAAGTGAGTATCTCTTCCCACGATCTCAACTATGCCCTCCTCCTCACTCAAAACTTCGCAGTCCTCTCCCTCTTAGTATCTGTACCTAGCTTCTAACTTAATGCACTACTACACACACAGGATCTACACTTTTGTCCAAGTGAGCATCTCTGCCCAGATTCTGACCTATGGCCTGACCATCATTCACAACATTCAGTCCTTTCCAAGTGAGCACCTCTTCCTAGTTTCTGACTGACTTCCCGCCTTCTCAATCAGGATCTACACACCTGTAGAATTTGGTATTTCTGCCTGGTTTCTGAATTACTGTGCTCCTGCTCACTCAGGCTCTCCACTTCTCTCCAAGTGAGTAGCTCATCGAGTTTTGAATTCTATGTCCTCCTCACTCAGGACTCTGCACTCTTCCGCATGTTAGTTCTCTGCTTAGTTTGTAACTGACTTTGCTACTGCTATCTCAGGACCACCACTTCTTTCCAAGTGAGTATCTCTGTCCATGTTCTGACCTATATACTCCTCCTCACTCAGGACTCTCCAGTCCTCTCCATGTAAATCTCTGCCTAGTTTCTAACCTAGTGTGCTACTACTCACACACGACCTTCACTTTTCTCCAAATGAGCATCTCTGACCTCTTTCTGTCCTATGTCCTGTTCCTCATTCATAACACCCACTGTTTTCCATTTGAGAACTCTTCCTAGTTTCTTACTTGCTATATTCCTTCTCAATTTTGTATAATTTTGTACCTTTCCTAGTTTTCGACTTACTGTGCTCCTGCCCTCTCAGGCTCTTCACTTCTTTCCAAGTCAGTGTGTGTTCCCAGTTTTAACTATGCTGCCCTCCTCACTCAGGACCTCCACTCCTCTCTGAGTTTGTATTTTTGACTTGTTTCTGATCTTTTCACTCCTCCTCACTCAGAACCCTCCACTCTTCTCCAAGTGAGTATCCATACCCAGTATGTGACCTACGCGCTCATCACTAAGAATCCCTCACTCCTCTTCAAGTAAGTACATCTTGCTATTTCTGATTTACTGCTGTCCTAAATCTGGAAGTCCACTCCTGTTGAATTTTGTATCTCTGCCTAGTTTCGACTTACTGTGCTCCCCGCCACTCAGGACCTCCATTTGTCTCCAAGTGAGTATCCCTCCCTAGTTTCTGACTGTCTTCCCTCCTCCTCACTCAAGTCCCTCCACTCCTCTCCACATGAATATCTCTGCCCAGTTTCTCAGCTGATCACTCCTCCTCATTCAGGACATCCACTCATCTCCAAGTGAGTATCGCTGCCTACTTAACTGACTCTGCTACTCTTCACTCAAGACTTCCATTTCTCAGTGTGTATCTCTACCCAGTGTCTGACCAATGCGCTCCACCTTACTCAGATCCTCTCACTCTTTTCCAAGTGAGCACGTCTTGCTAGATTTTGTGTCCTGTCCTCCTTGTCAATCAGGAATGCCATTCCTGTGGAATCTCTGCCTAGTTTCTGACTCACTGTGCTCCTCCTCATCAGGAACCTCTTTGTCCTCTCTGAGTATCTGCCCAATATCCTATAGGCTCTTCCTCACTCAAGATCCCCTTTCTTCTCCAAGTGAGTATCTCAGACTAGTTTCTAACTTACTAAGCTTCTCCTAAGTGAGGACCCCCTGCCCCTGTCATTTCCAAGTGAGTACCTCTTCATAGTTTCTGATTTACTGCCCTCCTCGTCACTCAAGACCTCCCATTCCTCTGCAAACAAATGTCTTTGTCTACCTTCTGACTTACCGCTCTCGTCCTCATTGAGGATGCCAGCACTGGTCACTGGTGTGAATTTTCTCCATGTTTATGTGGTCAATAGTTTTTGGTGTGCTCTCCCATACATTGTAATGTGTTTGTAATGATACATTTCTCACGTCTTTTGAATGTTTTCACTTCCTTGAAACATTCCTGCTTTCATAAAGTGAAAGAACTAGGTTCTCTTTCCTTGTAGCATCAGTCCCCTGGAGGTCTTTGGGCTAGCATTCCTGGTTTGTATCCTGTCTTCCCAGGTTCAATGGCTTGGCTGGGAATTCCTGTGTTGTCTCAGGAACTTTAGTGTTGTCTCTCCGAGATTATATATATGTATATATGTATATATATATAAATAAAAGGAAACAGCTTGATTTTGTCCTATAGCTGGCTATTTCTGAATGGGAAAAGAATGAGGGGGAAAGTACGGTTATAGAAATGTGCAGAATGTTGAAGAATAACATTGAGAAAAGAATTTTATATGTGGTTAGGACTTTCGACGTGTGGATTTAATTAAATTAGATAAATGGATTTCATTAAGAATAGGATGATATAAGACTGAATTTGGGGGCTGCCCTGGTGGCTCAATGGTAAAGAACGCACCTGCCAATATAGGAGACACAGGTTCGATCCCTGATCCAGGAAGATCCCACATGCCATGTAGCAACTGTGTCCGTTCGCTTCGAGTGTTTTCTTGTGCTCGGGGCCCAGGAGCCACCATTGATGAGTTCACACACCCCCACTGCTGAGGCCTGAACACACAGGCCGCGTGCTGTAATAAAAGAAGCCGCGGCAACGAGAAGCCTGCGCGCCACCGACTGCAGAGTAGCCCCCGTTCAGTGCAACTAGAGCAAAGCCCGTATAGCAGTGAAGACCAGCGGAGTCAGAAATAAGTAAATAAATAAAATTATTAAGGAAAAAAAAATCCTGTGAATTCCTATTTCTTCTAACTGATCTGTATTTACTTTTGATTTTTTTTCCCTACCTTAGCTCAAAGTTTTAAGTATTATTTCCTAGAAAACTATGATCCTATTTAACTGGGTGTTTTAAAACTTTTTAAAATTGTTGAGAAACTTTCCAAATATAAAATTCTAATTCCAGTTCACTTTGGGGTGCTTCAAGGGGCCTCTGGAACATTCCAAAGAGAGATTCCAAACTAATTGGGTTACTCTATAGGGAGACATTTGCCAGGTTCTCTGAGAATGATGACAAGTTTAGGGATGAATTTATCAGGCTGAGGCTGGCATTCTCTCTCCCCTGGCAGGACACCATGGTTATTCTGGCCCATTGTGGTACCCTGGATGAAAAAGAGTGTTTACTGACAAAGGCCAGGGAACACATCAACGGCCTACAGGACACCCATCCACACCACCAAATTGATCAGATGGGTGGGGATGCAACCCCAGAACATGACCCATACTGAGTCTATGAAGATCATGTAGGCCAGGCTAGGAGGAGACATTACATTACTTTTCTATCAGAAGGAGTGAAAAGGTGTATGGAAGCCTGAAAATTACAATAAAGTCCAAGAGGTTGCGTAGGAAAAAGATGAAAACCTGGCAGCCTTCCTGAGCTGGGTGACAGAGGCATTCAGGAAGTCCAAAACAGACCTTGAATCCACAGAAGGGAGGATACTATTGTTAGGCATTTATCACCAGGCTACTTCTGCTAGCTGGAGAGAATTACAAAAGCTTGAGGCTGGGACCCAAGCCCCATTGTCAGCCTTGGAAGAGGTGGCCTTCAAGGTCTCTAACAACCAAGACTTGACAGAAGAGGCTGTTGGTGCCCAAGGCAAAAAAAGATAAGCCTGAAGGGCCTCCAAACATGGGACCAGAAAGCACCAGACCCTCCTCGCCCTTCCCACCACATTGCAACTGTTGCAGAATTTCTGAGCCCCCTGGGGCAGCATGGCTTGTACCTTTTCTACCCCATATAAGGAAAGGTGTTTGTCCTGTTCCTCTCCTTCTGGGCATAAGGAAAGAATATGTATCACATGTAATCAGCAAACGATAGCAAGATTTTTATCCTGCTCTAATAAACTCTACTCTCTTTCATCCTGCCTCTTGTCATGGAGCATGACAGAGGCCAAGAAGGATAAGAGGCAGCTTGGCCAAGAAGGATAAGAGGCAGCTTTTGGGTGCCTTGATCCACCCACCACCACCTGGGGGACCGTAGAGGCCTGAGATGGCTGGACAGACAGCAGAAAACCCAGCTTGCCCCAAACCTGTGTGGCCTTTTGTTGGAAGGAGGGGCCCTGGAGCAAGAATGTCCTGAGTGCCCTCCTGTGGGGCAACCCTACTGGCCCCAGTTCCTTGTGAAACTCTTGGATTAGAGATTCCCACACAGCAATTGATGGGGCCTGAGTGCCTACCCAGTTCCAGATCCCACTCATCCATCCTCACTACTCCAACAGAGCCTTGGGTCTCCCCGGATAAAAAGGAATGTATACTGAGTAAGGCCAGGGGACATGCAGACGGCCACAGGCCACCCATCCATGCCACCAAATGGCTTGTTGGCTCTGGAGCCGCCTGCTCTGTTCTGACTTGGCCGGCCGGCCCCCCTCTCCAGCTGTGGCTGTACTGTGATGGGAGCCGACAGCCAGCCAAAGGGAGGACGATTTACATCTCCCCTTGCTTGCAGAATTGGGTCCATTATTGTTTACCTCCTCTTTTTTGTACATGCCAGAATGCCCTATCCCCTCCTCGGGAAAGATCTGATAAATGAATCAGGAGCTAGTATATTCTTAGGACAGGGTGAAGTCCAAGGAGGTAAAGAATCTGAGCAGAGAGTACATCTATTAGTAGCCCTGGACGACCCACCTGTTGGGCATCAAAATATTCCCCAAGACATCCCCCAAGAAATTGGAGAACAGGTAGATCCTGCAATCTGAGATACCTCAGTGCCAGGAGGGGCAAAATGTGATCCCCTAATAAGGTTAAGCCCTGGGGGAAAATATGCCCCAAAGAGACAATATCCTTTAAAACCTGAGGGGAATTCATCAGCTGCTCAGCCAATTCCTAAAACCCAGTCTCATTAGACCCTGACAATCCCCTTGCAACAGCCCTAGCCTCCCCGTTCAGAGGCCCAGTAGTAACAGCCATGCAAGATGAGCAGTGAATGCGGCCATCATTCCTATTCACCGGATGGTGCCAAACCCACACCCCCTCATCACGCAAAAGCCAGACAGCACCCAGTATTTTTGTTTTGGACCTCAAAGACACATTTTTCTGTGTTCCCCTACATGCGGATCCTCAATATCTTTTTGTCTTTGAATGGAGGGATCCTGACACCATGGAGGTTTACCCAATAAACATGGATCGTGTTTCTGCAAGGTTTTCAGGACAGCCCCCATCTTTTTGGAAATGCATTAGCAAGGGAACTGAGCCTTGAGGCAGGAACTCTGTCTGCTACCACATGTTGATGACTTATTGATAAGTACAAGTCAAGATTCAGATTAAAATACTGTTACGGTCCTAAATTTTCTGGCAAAAGGGGGATATAAAGTCTCTCCAACCAAGGCTCAGATCTCACAGCAATGGGTTTCATATTAAGGATGTGTTTTGACCCCAGTGGCACATGCCATGGATTGAAAAACAGCAATTAGTGCATTACCATCTCCAACCACAAAGAGGCAACTCCGAGGCTTTCTCGGGATGGCTGGGTGATGGCTGGGTTCTGTCGTATCTGGATTCTAAATTATGAACTTTTAGTAAAACCCCTCTATGAGGCTCTAAAGGGAGGAGAAAGGGAACTCCTTCAATAGAATAGGAACCACCAGCTGGCCTTTGAGATTCTAGACTGAGCTGAGTAGAGCAGCAGCACTGGGGCTTCCAAATTTGGATGAGCCCTTTACCCTATATGTTCATGAGAAGTCAGGGACAACACTAGGTGTCCTGAGCCATACCGGGGACTGGATCAGAGACCAGTGGCTTACTTTTCAAAACAAGTGAACTCAGTGGTCCTGGGATGGCCAAGCTGCCTGCAGGCAGTAGCAGACACAGCACTATAGGTAAATGAGGCTTCCAAGCTCACCCTGGGCCAACACTTAGATGTGTTAACTCTCATTACGCTTACGCCTTGGAAGGAAAGTTATGACCAACCTAGACATCATATTAAAAAGCAGAGACATTACTTTGCCAACAAAGGTCCATCTAGTCAAGGCCATGGTTTTTCCAGTAGTCATGTATGGATGTGAGAGTTGGACTGTAAAGAAAGCTGAGTGCCAAAGAATGGATGCTTTTGAACTGTGGTCTTGGAGAAGACTCTTTAGAGTCCCTTGGACTGCAAGGAGATCCAACCAGTCCATCCTAAAGATCAGTCCTGGGTGTTCACTGGAAGGACTGATGTTGAAGCTGAAACTCCAATACTTTGGCCACTTGATGTAAAGAGCTGACTCATTGATAAAGACCCTGATTCTGGGAAAGATTGAAGGCGGGAGGAGAAGGGGATGACAGAGGATGAGATGGTTGGATGGTATCACCGACTCAATGGACATGAGTCTGGGTAAACTCCANGATGGTTGGATGGTATCACCGACTCAATGGACATGAGTCTGGGTAAACTCCAGGAGTTGGTGATGGACAGGGAGGCCTGGCGTGCTGCGGTTCATGGGGTCGCAAACAGTTGGACACGACTGAGTGAGTGAACTGAACTGAACCCTCATTAGGTACTGGAAGTTAAAGGACATCATTGGTTGACTGGAAGAAAGTCAGCAAGATATCAGGCCCTCCTAATGGACACCCCTGACATTACCTTAAAGGTGACCCAAACCCCGAACCCAGCAACTCTGCTTGTAGCAGTCAAGAGTGGAGACTTCTTGTATCAGTATAGAGACCCTAAAATGAACTCACTCCAGCAGGTCTGATCTCCTAGAAGAGACTTTACAGCCCTGAGGTTGCATGGTTTACTGATGGGAGCCGTTTTATACAAATGGGAACCCTAAAGGAGGGGTATGCCATAGTTAGTCTAGATGAATTTATAGAAGCCAAGGCCCTGCCACCCCAGCTTTTGGCCCAGAAGGCTGAACTAACTGCATTGCTAACTGCATTAGTGAGAGCTTTGCAATTAGGGAAGGAAAAGAAATTAAAGACTTTTACTGACTCTAACTGTGGGTTCCACATGCTACATGCTGCCATTTGGAAAGAATGTTAACCACTAGAAATTCCCTCATAAATCATAAAGATTTGGTTCTGGCTCTTTTAGAGTAAGCTTTCAACCCAGGTAACAGGAATCCACTGCAGGAGCTATCAGAGGGATGGGTCTTTTGTGAGCCAAGGGAATAGCAA